CTGGTGCCTCAGGTGTTCAGATGGTTGGAGTTGAACCCCCCAAAATTCTCTGCATTGCACATAGTACTCCAGGTCAGAGAGCTCTAGGCTGCCCCTCATCTTTCTTCTAGATTCTTCTTTTCCTGGCCTTCTCTTGGATCCTTGTCTGTTATATTTGGATTAACTGCAAATCTCCTTTGATTACTCACTCTGTTGAAACAGACAACCTGTTGCCACGTGTTTGATTACTGAATCCCAGGGGAGTTCCTATTTGTAATGCAGCCAGTTACAGTACACACTCCGCATTACACACAGGCGTTGAGCTGCTAATTCATTGTCAAAGAAGTTGCCTTTCAGTTTCTGATTTTTTCAATAATAGGCTTCTCCTGAAGCCCTTAAGTTTCAGAAATAAGCCAAAAACTGCTTTTCCAGTCATTTATATAAACACAAGTAGATGGGGGGCAAGGGAAGTAGGGTATAGTTTTACATGTTATTCCTGGGGCTCTGAGAGTCGGAACAGCATATCAGGAAAAGCACACTGGGAAGGACGCCGGCTCACAGAAAACCTGACACCCAGGCTAGTGATAAATCCTGAAATTTCTCCTGACGCCCCGGCTGCTGCTTTGCTGAGGCTGGGCGGGTATTCTGGGCACCAGCAAATTGTTCTGTCAGCAAGCCGCTCCCTCAGCTGCATCTTGTTAGGAAGCCTGTCATTCATTCCCGGTCACAGCTCCCTGGACCCACCCTCCAAGGCAGCATCCTGTCACCTGGGACAGGTGAAGGGGTGGCTGCAGAAATCCTGCCCAGAAGCCAGGACCCCAAGGGAGAGAGAAGTCAATAGACCCTGGAGCTTCCATCATATTTCTGTATCAGGGGATGAGGATTCAGGACCTACACATAGAGATGTTCACTTATTTCAGATGAAGGGAGGAAATTTCTGGTATGTGGGCTGATTTCAAACACCATATTTTCCCCCTCCTCCTCCTTCTCTCTCCCCCTCACTTCACCATGTACAGTTTACAAATAATCCCAATGACTCAAAAAAGCATCCTTTTCTTCCCCGCCAAATCATATGCCGCACCAACAAGTAAAATCAAAAGCCAGACTATTAAAAGTTCCTTTTAAACCACTGATTCTGATCAGGCTATTTCACTCATGGACAAAACCTGCCTGATAAAAACAGAACAAAAGCTAGATGCATAGTTACATTTGAATTTCAGATAAATAGTTTTTGGTTTTTTTTTGTTTTTTTTTTTTAGTATAAGTGTGTGCTATGCATAATAAAAAATTTGCTACTTATCTGAAATTCAAATTTATTGGGCATCCTGGATTTTCATTTCCTAAATCTGGCAACTTGAGCAAAAGGGAATCTCCATTGACTTACACAGCTTACATATTTTGATAGTTTACATCCCACCAATGCTTGCTTTGTCCTGGTGGTTTCTCCTTAGCGGAAATTTCCAGGCCCCTTCCCTGAGGGCAGGGCCAGTGACTTCCTCCCCTTCACTTTCAGGGTTCAATACCTGGGAGTGGCTCTTTGATCAGAACTTCCTCCATCTGTGCTTCCCAATTTTATCAGTGGTTCTCAAAATGTAGAATGAATTGTCTGAAGGACTTCTTAAAAGGCAGAAAACTGGGTTTCAGAAAGCCTAGACATTGCTTCTGGGCAGCTGGGCTCTGACAGTCTTGGGCAGCACAGCCCCCTTCCTGTTCCCAGGGCAGCCTAGTGACTGGGGCTGCTGGGAGGGATCCCCAGGCAGGCGGAGTAGAGAAATAGTGGTTTGAGAAGGTCTCAGAAACTTTTGTTCTCTTTCAGCCTTTCAAATTCTTGCCCAGGCTTTATTTATTCCATCACCTTCAACATTAAAACAAGCACACCCGGGCCTCCCCGGTGGCGCAGCGGTTGAGCGTTGGGTTGCGAAGCTGCCAGCAGCTTCTGCAGCACCGGTTCGATCCCCAACTGCCGGGTGAGGGTCCCACATGGCGCGCAGACCTCTCCTGCCGCCCGCTGCTCCCCTCAGCAGTGTACTTCAGTCCTTCTGCGTGTTCTGCTCCCTGCTCTGGCTCTGGTGAATTCTCTCACCCTCCCGCGCTTCTGACTGTACCCAGTGCTTGTATAAATAAATAATCTTTAAAATAAAAAAAAAATAAAAAAAAAAAAACCAAGCACTCTGCTAATCCTGCAGGAAGGACATTCCAGGCACAGAACAGCATGTGCAAGGACTCCCAGCTGTGGAAGCGCTTCACTGTCCAGCCTGGTGTGCAGCGCCAATCGGGAGAGAGGGCAGAATGAGGAGCATGCTGGCACACACAGCAACAGAGAGGCAGGCACAAGACAGGGAAGGCTCTTCTCTCTCAAGGCAAAGAACTTGGGCTTGATCTTGAAAGTCATGCAGAATTGACTTTTTCATTTTAAATAAAGAACTGAGATATCAAAATTTGTTTGTTGGTTTGTTTTTCAGCAAGATGATTATTGATAAGATGGAGGATGGTCTAAGCTGGGAGGTAAACTGATAGCAGACAACTACTCAGAGGCCTTATTAATTCATTCAGCGATGACTTAAGCCTGAACCAAAACTGTGGCTGGGCTGGATGAGGAGGGGGAAGACATGATCTCATTTAGTTATGGAATGGCACTGAGTTGTGTGATCACAGGGGCAGAGGAAGTGGAGGCGAGCAGCTGAGGATGACCCCAGTGGGGTGGCACAGTCACTAATACCTGAGCTTCTGAAAAGCTGGTAAAATGGCTGACTTGCCAAGATATACTGAGTGATGGTTTCACAAATGTCTTTCAAATACAAAAACCATGTTACAAGGAGTTTAAATATTCCGTTTTACAGAGATGGAAAATATAGATTTTTGGGGAAAAGCCCTCAATTCCTAAATGGGTCAGTGATCGAATTGGAATGAGCAATGATATTCCGATTGATGTGAAGATCAAAGACTGTTTTATAGGAATAACTGCAACTATAAATGTAAGATGTCTCTTTATAATTGTCTAGAGAGTGCATTTAAGAAAGGAGTTGGAAATGAGCTCTGAAAATGTGGGGGAGATGGTTTGCTACCATCTTCAAAATGGGAGGACCAGAATCCAAAAGAGATGGAGAAACTTAAGGGTAGATCTTATTATATCATAAAAATCCGAGAAAAGGTACTATTGTGAGGAAAGGAGTAACTAATACTACGTGGAACCCTTTCATTCCTCAGCTCATTCCCTCATCACACAAGCAAACATTTCGATCCTTTTCTGCTTTCTGGACAGACCAGTCTACAGATAGACACACCCATGAGCCTGTAGCCATGTATGTGCAAACACACGACTCCCAAGGATGCTCAGGAAATATAAAAGCCATCAACTACAAACCCCTTCAGCTTCTTGTCACTACACTTCAATGAGTGGTGACAGGAAGTTTACCTATATGGTATGCTAAGGAAAGACTATTATTTCCCTTTAGTTATGTTTTCTTCACTTTGGTAAAATACTGAAAACACAAGTTGGGCCTCCCTGGTGGTGCAAGGAGTTAAGCACAGTACTATGAAGCTATTCACAGCCTGGCACAGCAGACCTCTCCTGTCTTGCCCGCTGCTCCCCTCAGCAGTGTATTTCAGTCGATCTGCCTGTTCTGCTCCCCACTCCGTCTCTGGTGAATCCTCTCACCCCCCACACCTCTGGCCTGTTCCCTAGTTCTTGTACACATAAATAAATAAATCTTTAAAAAAAAAAACACAAGTGTTGCCATTTTCAGAGTACATGTGCAGCTTTAAGTACATACACAGGACCTTCCTGGTAGTGCAAAGGGTTAAGCACCGCACTATGAAGCAACCCCCAGCCTCTGCAGCATGAGTTCGATCCCTGGCTGGCCAGGGAGCAACCCACATGGCACAGCAGACCTCTCCTGACTCACCCGCTGCTCCCCTCAGCAGTGTACTTCGGTCTATCTGCCTGTTCTGTTCCCCATTGTCTCTGGTGAATCTTCTCACCCCCAGCATCTCTGGTCTATATCCCAGCTCTCGTATGCATAAATAAATAAATCTTTAAAAAAAAATAAGTACATCCACAGTGTTGTGACCCCAGCCCCACCCTCCTTCCCCATTCCAAACAAACACTCTGTCCCCATTAAACAACAACTACTCATTCTCTTCTCCCCACAGACCCTCGTAACTTCTATTTTCTGTCTTTAAGAATTTGCCTATTCAATGCGCCTCATATGAGTAGAATCATACAATATCTGTCCTTTTGTGTCTGACACATTTCACTTAGCATAATGTCTTCAAGGTTCATCCATGTTGGAACATGTATCAGAATCTCATTCTTACTTTCCTTAAGGCTGGTTCACATTGATTGTATGTGTATACCATGTTTTATTTCTCCATTCATCCATGACAAACACTTGGGGTGCTTCCACCTTTTGAATAGTGAATAACGCTGCTATGAATAATGCCATACCAGTATCTGTTTGAGTCCCTGCCTTCAAATTTTGGGGGCATATACCAAGAAGTGGAATTGCTAGATCATCTGGTAATGCCACTTTTAAATTTTTTGAGGAACCACAAGACATTTCATTGTGGCCTTGCCATTTTACATTCCCACCAAAAACACACAAGGGGTCCAATTCAACTTCTCCATATCCTCACCAGTACTTATTTTTTTCTCTTCTTTTTTTAAATTAATAACCATCCTACTGGGTATAAAGTAGTATCCCACTGAGGTTTTGGGTTTTTTCTTTTATAGATTTGTTTATTTATGCAGACAAGAACTGGGGTGCAGGCCAGAGGTGCAGGGGTGAGAGGATTCACCAGAGACAGAGTGGGGGACAGAACAGGCAGATCTACTGAAATGCACTGCTGAGGGGAGCAGTGGGTGAGTCAAGAGAGGTCTGCTGCCCATGTGATTTAGCTCCCTGGCCAGGGATCGAACTTGTGCTACAGTGGCTGGCAATAGCTTGATAGCACTGTGTCTTTAAGCCCTTCACCACCAGGGAGGCCTCCCATTGAGATTTTGACTTGCTTTCTCCTAATGACTAGAGATGTTGATAACCCTTCATTAGGTGGCTATGCCTGAGCCATGTGCATGTTACATGGGCCCAAAGGCCTTTTCTATCTTGTCGAGGGGAGTTCTAACCACCCCTCCCTTTCTACACACACTGTCTCTTAATATTCATCCTCTTCTTTTTCCAGGGTGATAGACCCCTGAATTTATCTGTCACATGGTCTTCCAAAGTGAGTAATGCATTTGCCACATCCCCTTGCATCTGCATGAGGCCATGTGACTCAGTTCTGGCCAAAGAGATGTGAGGAAGAGTGCCACATAAGAGCTGCAGGGGAGGAACGTCCCTTGGGAGAAGTGTACTTGTGCCTTCTGCTCCTTCTTCATTTCCTTTTCACCCACCACCTGGCACAAGGATGATACCATCTTAGACCATTGGGCCAACACCATATACAATAGATCCAAAGGACAGAAAGGGATGGGTCTCTAAGCTTAGGGAACACAACAACCCTGAACAAAGTGGGGTGTTCTGTAAGCAGTAAAATAAAGTTCTATCTATGCAGACTACTTCTACTGTGTAGTTTTCATTTGCACCAGAATCCAATCCCAATGGGTATTCTGATATATGTTTCTCTTTCCTTACTTTGAATAGGAATGGGATTGTTCTTTCTCCTTCTCTTCAAGACTCATTCTTCTACTTGTGCTCAAGATCTGCCACCCTCCCACCTCTCATATTCCCACTTGTTAGTCATCTCCTGTGCCTCCCTTCCATGCTTCTCCCTTACTAGTTCCTGCCAGTCAGTATTCAAAGAGGTCTTTGCCTTCTTAAAAAATCAACATTTGTTCCAACTGCACTTTCCCTTCATCTCCCTACTTCTTACCTCTTTTATTTATTTTTTTTAATAATTCTCCACATTTTCTCTATCTTTGATTGATTTTTACCCCCCATTCTATATATGACTTCACAGCATGAAACTGTTCTCCCAAGGGGATGGGAAATGTCCTTTGTACACAGTATACTCTTTCTGGAGCCTCCAGCAGCATTTGACACTGCCAATGTTACTCTCTTTTGCAAACATATATCCTCTAGTCTAGAGGGCATCATTGCTTTTGTTTTAAGATTTATTTTATTTATTTATGCATATAAGAACTAGGATGTAGGTCAGAGGTACAGGGTGTGAGAGGATTCACCAGAGACAGAGTGGGGAGCAGAACAGGTGGATTTACTGAAATACACTGCTGAGGGGAGCAGCAGGCGAGACAGGAGAGGTCTGCTGTGCCATATGTCGGTTAGCTCCCTGGATGGGGAATCAAACTCAGGCTGTCCTGGTGAGACTTAACCCCTACTCTACCAGAGAGGCCCCCTCATATGTGTTTTTTTTTTTTAAGATTTATTTATTTATTTATACAAGCACTGGACACAGTCAGAAGTGCGGGAGGGTGAGAGAATTCACCAGAGCCAGAGTGGGGAGCAGAGCAGGCAGAAGGACCAAAGTGCACTGCTGAGGGGAGCAGCGGGCGGCAGGAGAGGTCTGCGCGCCATGTGGGACCCTCCTCCAGTGGCCGGGGAGCAGCCGGGGATTGAACTGGCGCTGCAGAGGCTGCGGGCAGCTTCGCAACCCAGCACTCAACTGCTGCGCCACCGGGGAGGCCCACCCCTCATATGTTTTTGATCAACCATCTTCCTAAGATCTCTCTTTTTCCCATTCATTAATAAAGTAGAGTAATTCTCTACTCTTCTCCTGAGTCATTAATGGTATCTGTGTTGAAGACCACAGTTGTTCAAAATCAGATATCTTTCCAGAGTTCCAGATCCATGGAGCTAATCTCCTATTAAAGTGTTTCTCCTAAATATCCAGCAGACACCTTCACACCCATTATGACTTAAATTACATTCATCACCATCTCCCTAAAATCACCCATGTGCCATCTACCCAGAAACTAAAGGTCTCCTTTCATTTGCCTCTGTCACTTGCCACCCTCTTTCCTCTCCATTTCCAAGTAAAAAAATTCCACCACCATGAATCCTCCCATGTCTCTCCATCTCTACGGGGCTCACCCTGGGTAGCCCACACCTCACTGTTCCACCCCTTAGGAGACTCCGTGGCCTTTAGCTTTGTCCCCTTTCATGTCCCATGCTCCAAATAGAGTAAAATTTTAACATTTTAATAACCCAAATAATGTTTTTTTTTAAAGATTCATCTTATTTATTTATGCATATGTAGGCCAGAGGTGCAGCAGTGAGAGGATTCAACAGAGACAGAGTGGGGAGCAAAACAGGCCAAGCTGATCTTCTGAAATACACTGCTGAGAGGAGCAGCTGGAAAGACAGGAGAGGTCTGCTGCACCACATGGGTTAGCTCCCTGGCCAGAGATTGAATTCTTGCCACAGTGGCTGGCAATAGCTTGAGAGCACTAAGACTTTACCCCTGCACTACCAGGGATGCCACCCCAAATAGTGTTATCTAATAATTAAAAATGCAAATCTGGGCTTCCCTGGTGGCCTAGGGGTTAAAAGCTATTCCTGTGACAGGCTAACTTCGATTCCTGGCCAGGGAGCTAACCCCCATGGCCCAGCACACCTTGCCTGTCTTGCCCACTGCTCCCCTCAGCAGTGTATTTCAGTAAAATTGCCTCGCCTGTTCTGTTCCCCACTCTGTCTCTGGTGAATCTTCTCACCCCTGTTCCTGCCTATACCCCAGTACTTCTATGCTACAATTTATTAAAAACAAATAAATAAAACTGCAAATCTGACTATGTTGCCACCTCGCATATAACCCTCCAAAACACATTCTTCTCTTAGGAAAAAATATTTAATAAAAACCATCAGGTCATTCAAAGTCTGACCTCTGCCTACATCTCTATTTACACCTCTTGTCATTCTACATACATCCCTCCTCCACTCTCCCTTTATCCCCAAAAGGCATAAAAACACATTCAATCTAGCTAAATTGGATATTGGAGTCCTAAATTCCTAGCATACTCTCCTGCCTATAGACTTTGGCAGTTTCTTCTACTGTAACACGCATAGCTCCTTGTACCTGGTTAAATCTAATCACGTTTGCTCAGCTTTAACATTTCTTCCTTCTAGAATACTTTTCTGACCTGAAAACCTCTTAGATGATGTCATAGCAACAAAACTTGCTTTTGTCCCAGCAATTACGATATTATATTGTTTACTTCGATGAGTGTAAGGAATACATCTCACTGCCATTGATACCAGCACACATTAGGGCCTGAACACATCTTTCTGGAGTATAGGAAATATAAGTATTAGTAAGAAACTGGCTATGCCCTTAGATCTATAATCTTGCCTTTTTTTCTAAGTCATTCACCTTGATGATATGAACATGGCACGTCTATATCATTTGGGAAATAAAGCTGGTGACTGCATATCAGAATGCAAAAATAATCTCAGTAGATTTAAATGATGCAGCCCAAGTATGAGGAAATTTCAAACACTTAAGAGAAAAGTTTAAAGAAAATTAACTGTAAGCAAGGCTAGTAGAGGTCTGGTATAATAAATAGCATTTTTGTCAGAGGAATGAGTACAACATCAATGTGAGTCAACTATGTGATATATCTGAAAAAAAAAAAAAAAAGAAACTAATCCAATAATAGCATGGACCTATATAATAATTGAGTCTAAAATGTGGTAGGTAATAGTATACTCCCCACTTTGTCAATCAGACTACATCTGTGCAAATCTGTCTGGTAATATCTTTTAGAGGATCATTACAAAACTGGAGCATGTTCAGAAGATATAGATCAGAATGAATAACTAGTGGTCTAGAAGTTATACAGTATAATAATCAGGAGGAGGAGCTAGGAAATGCCAAGATAAGGTAAGTCAGGTCCATGAGACTCATCTCTTAGAAAGCAGATTTTTTTTTAAGATTTATTTTTATTTATGCATGCATGTAAGAACTGGGGTGTAGGCAAGAGGTGCGGGGTGTGAGAGCATTCCCCAGAGACAGAGTGGGGAGCAGAACAGGCAGATCTACTGAAATACACTGCTGAAGGGAGCAGTGGGCCCAACAGGAGAGGTCTGCTGTGCCATGTGGGTCAGCTCCTTGCCCAGGGATCGAACTCATGCCACAGTGGCTGGCAATAGCTTGATAGCACTGAGACTTTAACCCCTGAGCCACCAGGGAGGCCCTCCTAGAAAGCGGAGTATACAATATTACTTGTATTTAGTATAGGTATAATGGCAGATGATAGAAAAAGACCAATTTTTGTATCACATAGATTCATTAAGATTGCATTCAGTGGGCCTCCCCTGGTGGCGCAGCAGTGGAGTGCTGGGCCGCGAAGCTGCCCCGCAGCTTCTGCAGCACAGATTTGATCCCTGGCCGCCCAGTTTGATCCCCGGCCACCAGCCAGAGTCCCACATGGCGGCTTGCAGACCTGCAGACCTCTCCTGCCGCTCCTGCTGCTCCCCTCAGCAGTGTACTTCATTCCTTCTGCCTGTTCTGCTCCCCGCTCTGGCTCTGGTGGATTCTCTCACCCTCCCGCGCTTCTGACCGTACCCAGTACTTGTGTAAATAAATAAATAAATCTTAAAAAAAAAAAAAAAAGATTGCATTCAGCATCAAGTAATAGAAACCTAATTACCTAGGATTTTTTTCATAAGTGTGGAAGTGGTGGTACAACTGCTATGTCATCTCAAGCCTGAAGTCCTATGGGATTGAATTGTATGAAACTGTCTGTATTCAATCTGTTTTAATTCACCAAAACAGCAAGTGGATTTGGTTAAACCTAAAAGCTTCCTTTTTGCCATTAGTGGTGTGTGTTGCTTATGTTTCTCTTTGAAAATTGGCTCCTGAACCTCAACAGACAAGAAGAAGAGGGAATTGGAAGGTGCAAAAACAACAAGTTTCAAGAGTACAATCCTCAAAATCTCACCCAGTAAACTTGGGCTTGATCACATTATCCTGAAGTGTGTTGCATGATCAGACTCAGCAATAAGGGGCCCTTGAAGGTGAGTATTTTAAATGGGCAGATTGATGCCCTAAACACATTTAAAGCACTGTTCAAAAAGAGAAAGGATAGAGTTGACACTGAGAATGCAGCAGAGGCACCTACCAGAATAGTGTTCTCTCAAAATTTATCAACTATGAAAAGGGGTGCTAATATCAGTTATTATCAGTTCTATCTA